TTGGTGACACTTTGAATTTCATAGCAATTGGTTTTTGCGACAAGCACACCTATTTGTGGTACATTTATTTGTGGCAAAGATCTTATTTTCACTTTACCGAGTGCCTAGTAGGTAATGTACGGATTACCTAGATACTCTGCACATTATCTAGGTAATTTGAGAAATGGAACAATTTTCACAACTTTAACGGATCACGCTAGTTAATCTGCAGATTAGCTAGGTAATCTGCAGATTAACGAGTTTCGAGCTTTAGCGGTAACAGATACAGTGATGCACTGTATTTACTTTGCATGAAAAGTCTTTCTGCAATAGTGAATTGTTAAAAATGATATAGAAATGCTCAATAATATCAATCTTCACCTACATATATATTCTTATAAAATTATAACCGAACCATTCTACATTAAAAATTTTAGTTAAAACTACTTTAAACTTACCAAACTTCAGGTAACAAATTCAAATACAAGACAGAATCTAAAGCAGTAAAAGTGGATACTCCATATAGTTAAATAAATACTTTATTTAATAATGATAAAACAATTTTTCACTTGGCACTATTAAAAATTTTTACACATTTTAATTCAAAAAATTTTATTTGTTAATTAATTAATGTATTTAGTTTGCATATAGTCAATTAAATATAGTTAAATTTTGTTTACTTGAAAAGTAATTTTGAATGCACTATTATTGATTGACTATTTTTATCCATCATTATGAAATCGGTTAATTGTACAATTGAACTAACTTTCACTTTTTATACTAATATTGATCAACTGCAGATTTTTCTGCCTTGGTTATTAATATAACAAGTAAAAATTACTCATCAATGATATTACTGTACTATAAATTTCAGTATTATACAATAAATAAAAATTTACTACAATAATTAATATAGAAATTAGCTTTCAGAGTCATACAAAATAAGATCATATCAACCATCCCCTAGTGAGAATTACAAACAATGCTACGTGACAATTCACTCTAACTGACAAGACAAGCATAGCATTAAATTAGTAATAACAATTTCATTCTTTTTTTTTTTTTTTTTGAAAATTTAAGACTATACAAACGAGTCCTTTTTTTCCTATACACATCCTTTTTAATTCCAATCCAGGAACCACAAACAGCAGGTGACGTGAAGTAAAACATCCAAAACAGACAAATACTATTAAAAATACTTACAATTAAAAATGATCTCAACATCAACCCTTTTTTGTAAGCTACAATGTCTAAACAAACATTAAAAACCAAATTCTTCATGACAGTATTCCTGTTATATAATCACATATAAGCTGAGTGTGCTCTGGTGGATTTTCGACATAAGAAAAAAAGAACTTGTTTGTATAGTCTTAAATTTTCAAATTAACTATAACTCCTGGGCTAATATGTACAATTTCAGAGTTCTCGTCATTATGTAAGGATTTTACAATGAAATATCTGTTGATTGATAGAATTTAATTAAACTGAAAAGTTTTTAAATTATTAAAAGTACTGTTTACATTTCTTTATCAAAACCTATCTATAAAAACAACCGTACAGTGATATCTCAGTTTTTGTTGAAAACAATCGGCAAAATCTGAAACCAACAAAAACTGAGGCAATTATTTCCACACGAATCAACTTAAATCCAATTACCATATTTACTCAAATAAAAAAAGAGGTTTTTATTCATTTATCACAGCTTCAAATTTCTAGGTCGTCCTATATGTGCGAGTGAAAGATTCTTTGCGTTTTTGCAAATAATTTTTGTGAATTGTGTATTTGCATTTTTTTTATAGATGCATTTAAAAACATAAGTATTTTATCTGGGTCGTTTGGCTTGTTCTTGTATATTGTCAGGAGTATAGATGAATAGCAATAGGAAAAGCAAAGCTTTTGAATTGAATTCCAGATTGAAATTCCAAAATCACATGGGAGACCAATATAAGTTTTAATCCATTCCCACATGAAAACAGATGATTATTTGTAAATAAGAATTCAGAGAAACTCATAAGTGTAATCAAAGGAGAGTAGATTCGACTGTTAAGAATTGGCCAAAAAAGATTCCCGATTGTCCAGCTTTACATGAACAAATTATGTTGTTGTTTTAAAAGATTTTTCCTTAAAGTTTAAAATGCCAGAAATTTTTGTGGGACAATGTGTGCATTTACATTTATTTGATATTTTACTTGTGATTAAATGAAATAAAATTAGAATTGTATTAATAAATCAATTTTCTTTATTTTAATCTTTAAAGCCACACCTCGTCCTGTATGTAAGATCAGGGCCGGATCATCGCATAGACAAATGAGACAAATGTCTAGGGCCCGGTTTTTAGAAGGGCCCGGTCAAACTGTCTATTTTGAAAAGATTTGTAAATAAGATAGATTACTCTTCTGTTGGACAACTGTATAATACTGGTAAAATATTATATTATTTAAATATTAACCAAAAAGGTTAAATTAAACAAGTAAAACGGCAAAACCGTATTTGGGACACGACTATGTCTCGGAGACACTACTAAGCGGAATCACTTTGACGCTCAAAGCGGATCTCTTTCTCATTCTCCAATCTTCTTTGGTATCGCTGCTTTTGGGCGCGATCGTTCAAACTTCGCCAGCCACGACCACGAGGTCGTCCACCATGCATTTTCGATGAAATTAACCTATCCAATTTCGAAATTTCTCTCCGTTGCGTGTCGGCCCGGGTTGAATTTTTGTCGATGCCTAACGAAAATTTCTCGTCTTTGAAAAAAATAATCGTGGCTATTGTATCGTCCGAAATTTTTTTTTTTATTTTGCACAAACAATATACAGTTTAACCTGATTATAACGTCAAATTTTTACTGGTCCCACGATTTTACTATACTAGACAATGTTAAAAAACCTACTTGTAACGACATAAAACCCTGTTTTAATGTCATATTTGAAGCACTCCCAAATTTACAAAATTAGATTACAAATTTTATTTAAGAAAGAAAATACTACGTGTTCAGTCCTAGGGTCAGAGTCCATTTCCTTGAACGACTGTGGGTGGTACTCTCACCACCTGACTTCGGTTTGCCTGTTTGTAGAGAGAGTCGCCATTTTGTATTTTACTTTCACTCGGTTCTCGGTCCCGAGTACCTACAAGTCAGGTTTTTTTATGCGCGCATGATTTGGGCACTTAATACTCTGTGCCAAATTGCAACTCCTGACATGTACTCCTTCATACCTCTAAGCTGGTAACACAGCAAGCAGTACGATTTTATAAACAAGACATAGTCTTGTTGACAATTATTTTTTTAAGGTAATATTGTTATTTTACAACAACTTTTGTTAGACATTTAATAAAACAAATTTCAATATTTTAAATTTATAAACAAACTGTTCAAACACAACAATAAATTTTAGTTTTTCTAGAAAGAGAAACTAAAATTTATTGTTGTGTATTAAATATTTTTTATTAATAAAAATTTAAGATTTGTTTTAGTTTTTCACATTATTTAGTTTTGTTTTATTTATTGTTTTATATTTTTTGTGTGCTCTATTTCTAGTGTGAGAAAGGGGGGCCCGTAAGAAGAAAATGTCTAGGGCCCCAAAGTGGGTTAATCCAGCCCTGTGTGAGATCGTCTTATATGCAAGTAAATACAGTAATTCGTTATAGATACTCCAAAATACATACCAAAAACACATTTTAGAGAGAATAAATATTGTGTTTAATACTAAAAACAATAAGAAACTAATATAAAATGAATATAAAAGACTAATGTAAAGAATAAATGAATATTTAACATGGCATTCAAAGTGCTGCTGGCTCTGGAAACTTTCTTTGGTCCCATGATGGAGCTAAAAGGAAAGGAAAGCAATAGAATTGTTTGGCTAGACCAGTGTTTCTCTACCTCTAATGAATTGTTGCCCCCTTCAATAAGACCATTACGTAGTATCACCCCCTTCACTACAAAATTCAGATGCCGAGGGACAAAGCTAACACCAAATTCGTACTGCATCGAATAGACTAGTGACTAGTATAATGTTATTTGTTTAATTATTGTACAATATAACGAATAAAATATCTAAGTATTCTTAATATAATGTTTTACTATATCACCCAGAAAATTGTTTTTTGCCCCCAAATATAAATTGTTACTAATCGCCCCCTCAACATGGAAAAACACCCACATGGGGACGATATCGCCCCCGTTGAGAAACACTGGGCTAGACACATGGGGTAATGCTCACACAATGAGAAACAACACACCAAGCAAAAAAATGCACGGGTTGTCCTCCATTTTTGCAAAATTAGCAGCAAGGTCACGTGGGCATGCATTGAAATCAGCGGCAACCGACGAAAATAGAGAGAAATTTTTTGCAGAAAAAATCGACGAAAACCAAAACCAACGATAACAAAGATATTACTGTATTATCATCATTACGTGTATTAAATTGGATGAAATTTTGTAAGATCTTATCATCCAAAAGTTGATAAAAATATATTTTAAAATACATATAAATGTGTATTTTTAAAGTATTTTTTTTTTTAATCTTTATGTAAAAACTGCAAGTAAATAAACTTCTATTTACTTGTAGTTTTTTACTTTGAAGTTTATTTACCTACTAACAACTATACTAAATGTAATTATTTCTGTCATGATACAAAGTTAATTCTTAAAATAAGCTGAATTTTATCATCCTTTACTTAATAAAAGCAGAATAATTCTAATTAAAAGATAAAGGCACAATTTTTGCAACAAATTACAAAGTGATGATAAAATGCCTAAATAATTAAACCAAACTTATAACCTCACGTTGTAATTTGTATCCATACCAAATACATTAAATATTTCATTTTATAATCATTTTTACTGGTAAATGACGTACGCTGTCCATTCAAATAGTTTTAACTTAACAAAAGAGCACGGCTTCTCTCGCAAAATCAATGAATACTTTAAATTATCGATGTGCTTCCGATGAAATTAATATTATAATTTCACCATAATCATATTTTCGATATGTATTTAGTATTTTACATAAAACACTTACGCAAAATATCAATTTGTTGGAATTTATCCGTATAATAAACTTAGCCAAACGATCTACGCTTTCTTCGATTTTCAAAACAACGTTGCCAACTTTCGTCGATCATAAAATTTGAAATATGATATTTTTTTTTCTCGGAAATTTAATTATTATTTAATATAAAGTATAGATATATGATTAATAATTTATCTTAAAATTCTCTACGTGAAATAAATTTTATATAACATTAATATTTGACGGCCGGATGGCCGGACGATCAAGGTGGCAGCTTACCGTTATGAGGAACCCGGGATCGAATCCCCGGGAATTTTTCGGGGTGGTCCATCACCCGTCCCTCACCACCCGGCCGTCCCATTGTGGGCCTGGCCGAACTCATAATGGGCTTGCTGAAAGAGGCCCTCTAGTACCCACAGAGTGAAAAGACTTTTAAAAAATAACATTAACAATGGAACTAAATACAGTCGATCCCCCTATAAGACGGTAGATACGTTCCGTTCTTTATGAATCAATTTTGTAGGAATCACAGCCCGACACGTGTGAAGTTTACGGACTACGGCTGTTTGAAAGATTTTCTTCCATAAAATTAATCGATTCTAGAATAATCCGACTCAACATTTCCAAAATACGTATATATTTTTTTGGAAATAATCCGTATAAACTACGCTATAAACAAAAAATTGTAGGATTACTTAC